AACGATGGAATTGTGCGATTTATGAAGTGTTTTCTGTGAGTTTTTCGTGTTTTCAAGTATTTAGTAAACGAATAAAAATTTATGAAAAGTTACTAAATAATAAAAAACATTTAGTAATTAGGTAAAAACAATCGAATCGGGCAAACTCGCATTACAGTTAACTTTTGAGAATCCGTAGAATGAAGACAATTACATATGTATGAGAACTAAAAAAAAGTTTTAAAAATTTAAGCAACAAAGAAACAAAGAAGATGGTAGAGTGAAACAAGAACCTGAGTTCGGCTGCTGGCAAAAAACATACAAGCATACAAAAAGAGAATATTTATTATAAGTTAAGATTCAACAGTTGAAAAAAAATATTAAAATCCAGCCAAGCAAACTTTGCCAATGAGGACTTAACAACAAAAACAACAAAAATTAAAATTTAACAAAATAGCATTAAGCCATGCTTTATTTGTTCGTTTACTAAAAGGGTCTTTTTCGATGTGTTCTACAAGTGCCACTGCTTTGCTTTGTGAGATTTTGCTTCATATTGCACATTTGCTTCACTGCTACCTTTTGCTTTGTTGGTTCTGGTTGAAATATTTCTTTTCTTTATTTACGCAATAAAATGGAAATGCAACCAGCTACATAAGTCCGAATACAAAAACTGCATAAAAAAACGAACTATGTACACACTTCTGTGTGCATATGTACGTACATATGTACGTATGGCTGTGTGTATGCACATGCATATAGGTGTTTATTGATATAGTAGGTGGTTTTTGCGCTAACTACTGACGTCATTAGCTGTAGGTGGCCTAAATCTAGTAAAATTGAGCACTAAAAATACATTAGTGTGGTGGTATGTACTGAAAGAAGTTGAAATAAAATGACATAAAATTAATCAAATGCAACAGAAAGAAGTTGGAATAAAATGTCATAAAATTAATCAAATGCAACAATGCAAAAAATAATTAAACAGAAAATAAAAATTAATAATAAAATATAATGAAATAAACAAATGTATTAAACAAGTAATGTTTACACAACAAACGTACTTAAATTCTCGCATATAACTTGAATAGTACCGTTAGTTGTTTAATGATCCAATAATCGGAACTAAAACCAATTAGTACGGGACCACCGCAGGTGTAAACTTTTCGATAAAAAATTCTATAAAGAATTATCGAAAACAGTTCACTTGGTCCAAAGTTATGCGGTAACATACATACAAAAACTTAAAAATATACCGACGAATTGATAACCTACTTTTTTTGAAGCCGATTAACAACGAAATTAAAAGAAAATAAAACAAAATAAAGTGAAATAATTTTAATTCAAAATAACTATTACCGTTCGGAAACTGTTGATATTTTTATACCTTGACGCCTCGATATAACGAATCCTGATAAAACGAAAAACTCAATGTAACAAAAGTTTTGCTGAGTTCCCTGAAGAAAAAAAATCGTTGCTGCGGGATTTTTCATACAAAAATGCTCCATAGATATGTATAACGAAGAAATTTTGAGCTTGAAAACCTTCCGAATATATTAGCAAAAGGCCCTATATAACGAAGTGTCGGCTCAAAAGCCTCTACATAACGAATTCTGAATATGTTGAGAAGTCCGTTATAAAAAGAAATGAAACTATACTAATATCGTATTTTTTGCAAAATTATATTGTAGTATTTTTTTTACAGGCATATACCTACAAATATGTATGTGCTAGGGATGTTAATTTTTTTCGCCTTTTACGATCCCGGGATTTTCGGGACGTCGTTATCACAATCCCGAGATTAGTCCCGGGATTTAGATATTCATTACTTGTCAACTACTCAAATCGAAAAAATAGCTTCTATCTCTCCTACCATAAAATAAATAATAAATAATAATAACACTGTGAGACAAATGGTAGGGGTCAGTGATCGGTAGGGGGTTCAGACTACCGGGGAAAGTTACATCGGTAAACAAGAAGTTCTACGTGTCCCGGCGTTTCGCTGGGTCACGTCTAGGAATCGAGATATATATATAACTATCATATAGGGGAAATTGTCACCTTTGGTGGTCTTTTTTTGACATAACTCGAGAACCACTAGTCCGATTTTGCTCAAACAAATTTAAAAAAATTAAAAATTACAATTCCTTTAATCTGTTCATATAACGTTTTTCTATATAATCAACAGTTTTAAAAAAATTTAATATTTTAGGCAAAAAATATTTTTTTTCTTCATACATTTATTTTTACCAGCAAAATCGGACTAGTGGTTCTCGAGTTAGGTCAAAAAAAGACCACCAAAGGTGACAATTTCCCCTACATGATAGTTACTAACTTCAAATCGATATATCTCGATTCCTAGATGTGACCCAGCGAAACGCCGGGACACGTATAACTTGTTTTTGACCGATATAACATTTCCCGTTGGTTTCATCCCATCCCGATTTTGACTGTCGCATAGTGTAATGAGCTAGAGATTTCTAAAAAAAAATTTATTTTTAAATAAAAAATAAATAAATATAGCCAATACTGGTCAAGAAAAGGAGTTTCTATTATTGCCATCAGTGCAAACTACAAATCCCGGGATTTTTGTCACCTAAAAAGGCCGGGATCCCGGGATTAACATTCATAGTACATATGTACTTATGTAGATATTTGCTGAAATATAAGGAACACCTTACAACAGCTCCAAGTCCAATAGTTTATTTGGTCAAATCCAGTGTTTTTTTGTTTTTTGTTGTTCGGAGGAAGGAGTCTCTTCTATTCGCCGCAGTTTATCAGCCTGTGTACCTCCCTTGGGGAAATTAGAAGGAGTTTGTGTTGTTTCCCGGAGAGTAGTCGGCAGCGAAGACAATATCTGTTGGAGTTCCTGATTTGTTCAACTTCTTATGGGGGAGCAAACAATGTCATCTTTAAGCACTTCTCTTGTGTGATATCCCATAATACTTTATTATTAGTATCTTTTAAATCTCTTACTTGACCTTTTTAGACCTCCTCCTGGCGTGTTGCGAGGTATCCTTGTCTATCTGCATCTCTTCCGATGCAATCAGAGTACATATCACTCAGAGACTTTTTCCTGCAGGATTTGATCGTCACGCTGTCGAATCTATCGTTCAGCCTAAAACCGTCCGCCTGACACTGTTGAAGGAGTACTACGCCCACATTAAGAGTAAGGCCGATGAATGAAGCTCAATTCTGTAAAACAGAGTTGATATAGTTTAAGAGTAACGCCAGGAGACAAAGGAAATAGACACGTCTAACGTGAAAGTATCCTGTTTGGCTGAGTTGATACAAAGTTAAGATAGTTCATAGAATCAACATAGTTTTCCGTACGACGTTCATAATGCTGGTTACCGACCAGTTAAGATATAGTGCTTTCTAGCCATCGATATATCATCGGTCTACGTTTACATATTAGTACCCTTGACACTTACATATATGGACTCTTACGTGCACCGGAATGCATCTGTAAATCGGTACACCCTAATAAACGAATGACAAAACTGTCTACCGTTGGCTGATAAAGATGGACGGGTGCCAGAAGTGATCAGATACAGATAACAGATCAATTAAGCTCCAGAGGTAATAAGTGACATAGAACGGTTTGCAGTATCACGGACGATATTAATTTCCGCTCTGGCGAAAAAAAAAACGATATTTGGCTCAACAATTTTTACAAGCTTTTTCACAATGCTTTTGTTCGCTAAACAAGACTTTCGCAACGTTATCAAGGGCGTTAAACAATGACAGGGCTCATTAATTCGTATATAAATAAAATAAATAAATAAACACTTTTACAGTTTATTTAAGAAATCTCCATTGAAGGTTGCTTTATTTATTAACAAAAATAAATAAATACAATAAAAATAAATCATAAATCAGACCGAAGTTCACTATCTGATGAACTGAAAAAAAAAAATTTTTCCATTTACAATAACAACCGTATGCAGGGCTAGCTGAAAACAGCAATACTCGAGCAGGCATCTGCCACTTTCAATCTGTTTTGTGAAAACGTACCGGAAATAAGCGCTGCCAATAAGTGTTGAATAGCGAAATTGATGCACGCCCGCAAAACACGTGAAAACGTCAAAAGCTGTAATCAGCAAGTCATCAAATAAATAAAACATTTCAGTGATTTAGCAATGGAATCTAAGAGAAGCAAATCAACAATAAAATCGAAAAGCAAATCAATAGAAAGTACAATGGAAATTTGCTTATAAAAAAGCATTGCAGCAAAGATTTTCTCTAAAAATATTAAAATTGTAATAAGTAAATGTGCATTTTAATATTCATACGTATGTATGTATATTTATGTCGGATATACTTTCAAATACTTTCAAATATTTTCTTTATATTTTTAATATTTTACAGTTAAACAAACGCACATACATACATACATTACAAATGTACCAGCAAAAAAAATGTCTACTAAATATTTGCCAAACTCCAAAGTGAAGAAGTAAAACAATGCTTTGGCCACAAATACCAAACTTCCCTCTGACAGATGTCACATATATAGATATGTATGTATGTATGTACAAGCAGTGACTGCCAGAAGTATTTTGCATTGATATTCAAAATATTTTTCATGGAATATTTTTTGATTAAAAAGTTTGCATTTTTGATGAACATTTATGGCATTTTCCTTAATTTTGGCTTACATGGTTTTTGTCGTAGAATGAGCTATATTTTTGTAAAAAAGAACCCAAAAAAATTATTCACCATGAAAACCATTTGGAATATCGTAGAAAAAGCAATGCAAAATACTTCTAGTTACCATAGTACATATACACTTGTATATGCAGTTATGTATTTTTGCTATTTTTGCTTATATATACTCTTAAATGTCCCATAGTACCAACGTACCACCAACTAATCGCAGCCAAAAAGTGCCCATAAAATTCACAACGCAAAATAATTTCGTTTACTAACCGATTTGCTACATCAACAAGAAACAAAACAAAAGCGTATTCAATTTCAAAAGAGCAACGTTGAACTCTAGATTAAAAGCGCGACACAAAAGTAATAAGTACGGATAAGAAAACAAAAACAAGTAAAAAGTTACCACCGATAAAACAAAAAAACAGCGAAGTGCCAAACAAAACAAAGAAACATCAAATAAGCAAAAAAAAAAGTATAAAGTAAAGGGCTCAAAAGCAGCTGACTACAACAATAAGCCACGAACCAACTCAAGGAACAACAACATATCCTCCCACCTCCAACCAACCACCACAATATAAATACCAAAATATATAAGTAATAAAGAAAACACAAAAAAAAATACAAATAAACCGCAAAATAAAAATAAACCGGTAAATAAAAAAAAACAAACAACAACTATATAAAACAAGCACACATCTTTTCAGCGACAAATATGAAGCAAACACGTAAAGTTGCTCCCGATGGCGGTTGGGGTTGGGTGGCCTGCTTTGGCGTCAGTTTAGTAAATGTAAGTAGACTCGACTCATATTTTTTCAGATTACATACATATACAGCGTGTCCGGTGGTGAGCTGCCTGATATGTAAAAATGACTCAGGTAAAAGTGTACCGGTTTTTTTTATTTTTTTTTATTTTTATGTATCATAAAATAATATCAGGAGCAGTTAATAATGTACTTTTGTAATTAGGAAGTGTTTTACAGAAAAAAATTTACTAAGTATTGCCTTGTTTGTACATGCAGTTACAGAAAATACATGAAAGGGCGATTTTTTTTATTAAAAAATAAACATCAATATTTCAAAAACGGTGACACTTTTCCCTGAAAAATGTTTGCTTATCAGGGAGCTCAGCCCCCCTCTATCTTCTCGTCAAGTTTGGCAGGGTACTTCTTGGACACCCTGTATATGTATGGATATATTGAACATGCATAATATGTACATTAGGGTGGTCAAAAAATGCATGTGAAAAAGTATAGTCGGAATTTGTATGCTCTCACCCCCTAGGATTGTTCTATATCGAAAAAAAGTATACCCCTATTTTATTATTTTGAAATCAAAAAATATTTAGAGCTCGCTCAAAGCGCCCAAAGTTCTCCATGTATTTTATATGGGAAAAAAACAACTTTTCGTAGAAATGGTATAGAATAGTTAAAAATCCATATTTTTCTACCAGAAAACTCTGCAGGAGATTCCCAATAATAATACCCAATTGTTTATTTAACCATTTTTTAATTGCAATTATAATTTATAAGTAAAAACCCACATAATAATAATAATAATAATAATAATAGATTGGCGCTTACACATATGTTAGTATTTGGCCGAGCTTCCCCTCCGATTTGTGGCGTGCGCCTTTTTCTATATTTTTTGCGATGTTGCTTTGACCAGGGCTTGAACCCAGGCGTTGCGAAGTGGAAACGCGCACTGCTTACCAATACACCAAAGCGGCCGACATAAACCCCGAAAAATGCAATGGGGCAACCAATAAAAAATCGTTAGTATTAAGAAATGGTTAAATAAATAATTAGGTAATATTATTGAATGTCTCCTGAAGAGAACCAGAGTTTTCCGATCGAAAAATATTGACTTTCCAGAATTCTATACCATTTCTACGAAAACATTTATTTTTCCCATATAAAAATACATGGAAAACTTTGGGCGCTTTGAGCGACCTCTAAATATTTTTTGATTTTGAAATAAAAAAATGGGGGTATACTTTTTTTCGATATAGAACAATTCCAGGTGGTGAGAGCACTACAATTCCGACTTTGCTGTATTTGGACCACCCTAATGTACACCCTTTACATTTGTACATACATATATATTTCAGGTAAATGCTTAAAGAACAACCACGCGCATACTACGTCAGCAGATATGACGTCGTCGTATTGTTAAAAATAGATTTAAAGTGGTGTGGATAACATCCAGACAAATATGTACATATATCCAAATGAAACTGCCCTTTCTTAAGGAATTATCTAATGAATCAGCATTGATTATGATAACGCGTTCTTTCTGTTTTTATTGTTCTCCTTTTTTATTAACCTATTAAAATACTTTTCTCAAAAGGGAGTGGCCCTGTAAGTTAGACCTTACCACCTTTCAAGAAAAAAAGTTCACCATCCACCCTGATTTTAGCAAGGCAGTTTCGAGAAGTTTTTTTGGTCGAATCTAGCGGTCCCCACTTGGCGTCAGTCGGCACAGGTGTGCCTTGTTGAACTCGGCCAAAATCGCTTTACAGCACCAAATAAGAAGATGCGGTTCCCTTTTTTATATTTTTCTATGACACCTACAAATACTTGCTTTGGTAATTTTTAGAGATCTTCAATTTACTGGCATTAGGGTGCAACGCTAGTGTGATATTAAGTGAGATCTTATGGGTATATGTATTTAAAACCTCGGAAATTGAGGTCAATGAACTTAAGGTTTGATCGTTGTTTTGTGTAATTTTGTTTTTTCCAAAGTTGACCCTATCATTGGTTTTGAAAATATTCATATTTTTGTCCGTGACGTGGCAAAATTATTTAGGATGAGTTTACATTGCCTTATTAAGCTAAATAGTTTTTTCTGCAGTTGAGCAGCTTTGAAATCACGCTTAGGTTGATGTCAGAGGGCTTGCTAAAAGCAATGCTATAATATGGCATGTAATCTTATGGAAAAGCGCAAAACATGCCAGAGTGCAGCACAGCGACGTTCAGCGACTTCGAGAAGGCACTGGACTTGCACTTTATTTTATTAAAATTTTAAAACTGCATACCCAAAAATTTTCTAGAAATTCAAATTAAAAAGTTCGCGCGTTCGGCGCGTGTGCGTATAAACGAAGTTGAAGTCGAAAATAAAGTGTAATTGAGCGTAAGAAACAGTGATTAATTTTCGCTTAATTTTTGCCATCAACTTCGTGTATACGAACACGCGACTTTACGCCGATGATACTGCGCAGTCGGCGTCGCCCAGGCCTTGTTAAAACACACAATAAAAAAATTTTACTTAAAAAACATTGCTATGAAATATTAAAGAAAAAAATCATCTTGTGAATAGTTGTTCGAATCACTGTAATTGTACATTTTCAAAGTTATATTTTCCGACATACATATGTACATATTTTGCGCCCCTTTCTTTTCATTAACCCTCGCTGGCACGATTACAAATATGGATATAAAAAAACAGACAAGATGGCTATGACCTTCTGACCACGAGGTAACTGTCGGCGGTCAAGGGAGCTCCTGAAACTGAACAAGTCATATCTCTTGTTACTGGTGGGAGTTCTTACGGGTCATTGTTCGATCGAAATTAATGAAGTAAGCCGCAAGGACGCATCCAACGTCTGCTACCCGACTAGCCGGCTTTCGCAAGCTTAAGGTTTAAATACTCAGAGTGTTAATTCTTTCTAACCCACTAGGCGTCACCGTTTCTTTTTGCCTTTCACTTTTAACCTCTCCTTTTCTTAATGGTGATTCAATAACGAGTCAATTTACTAGTTTAAGTGCGCATCCGCCTATTATTTACGACTCGAAAAAATCCCAGCAGTAATACAATTTTAGCGCATGCATCGAAACCTTTAATAATAATAATAATAATAAACCTTTAGCTGCTAAAAAATATTTTCCTTCCTACCTGCCGACCATCATCAAAAAAAAGTGTGGATCTGTATGCACCTTTATCCATTATATTTCTTTTTATTTATTTCCCCCTTTCTGTTTGTTGCTTTACATCTCAAAACAAAAACTTGAAAAAAAACGCATCAAACTGGTCTGTGCGACCCCATCTTTTACTGCTTGCTATTGCCACCTCTTTGATTTGTTTACTTTCCGTTGCTGCGGTGCATCCATCCGTTTCGACAACTAAACAGCTGAGGTCATCCTGCATCTCAGCTGCTGTTTTTTTATTTTGTCTGTTTGTAGTTTTGATTTTTTCTTTGCTTTACTTTATGAATTTCTGTATTTTTCCAATGTAAGCACTGGTATTTTTCCGATGGCAGTAAAAGCGAGCGAATAATAAACAGCAAACGTGTGCCATGCACTCAGCACGTGATTACTAAAAACTCTAAACACTGATCGTATTCTCTGTGGGCACAGTGTTTTGTTAGTGTTGTTTTACATCACACAAATACTTTCAAATGCTTTGAAGCGTGTACAATTTTATTCCTTGGCCATTTAGTTACTATAGGTGTGTGCATGAATGTGTTTGCCTTTTCAATGTGTCATAAATTCTTTTGAGTATATATAAAATTACAATGTAGATATACACTTAGGTCTTTTTTTATGCGGTATATGCGTTCCTCAGAAACATTCATGAAATAAATAAAATTGTATCTGTATTCAAACCAAAAACCAAAAATACCACAATAAATACTTACATGAATTATGTAAGAACACAAAGCCGTATTAATTATCAAAAGCATTGTCTCTTACACACTGAAAAAAAGTAATAATAACTCTCAAAAAAGCAAAATCGCTACGAAAAAGTGGTTTGAAAGACCGCATAAATTTAAATCAGCTTAAAAAAAACCTCATAAAAAGAGACCTAAGTGTACTTTATTTATCTAACTTTCTGAAAAATGTCTGCGTTTTTGTAAAAAGTTTTTTCATTCGCAACCTAAAAATTTATTTATTTTATATTCAAACCTACATTGCTAAATTTTTTGTGATCCAGATATAGATCCAAGGTCGTTATGGAAATTTGTAGTCATTAACACAACACTTCTATACAATTACCCTTAAGTTTTTGCCTTTATTATCGAAATACCTGAAAATTTTATTTATGAATTTATTGCTCCAATAAAACTAAAATTTGTTTATTATCGTAGAACCAAGAAAAAGTTGCATCCACCCATGATACAAAAATTTGAAGGTAAAACCATGATAAAAATATAGTAAGGTAGAACCGCTGAGAGTCACTTTTAAGATTCTTGACGTTTCCAAACAATTTAATTTTTAAATTTACTCACAAACTCACACACACATTTTCATTTTCAATCTCAAGCAACAACAATTTCGAACAATTTCAATTTTTTATTTTCACTTTTATATGATTTTAAAATGTTGGCAAACTTCAAAAAAAAATCATGGCCGACAAATTGAGAGAACGGTTATACCTTGCTATGTTTTTATCATGGGTAAAACCGCTGAGAGGCAGCCTAAACATTTTTGAAGTTTGCTAACATAACAAAAAATATTTTCAAATTTTCAGTCTCACAAATACATTCTCACTTTCAGTGTCAAATGAAAGAAAATTGAATATATTCATCCATTTGTTTTTTGTTTTACTTTTATTTGGCATTTGAGTTGCTTTCATAATTTCAATTTTATAAAGTAGAC